TGATTCCAAGCTTTTACTATTTGATATAAACAAGTTCACAAGTTAATTTTTGAATTGTATTAGTAATATTTATTTTTATTTTAGGGTGAGAAATTATGTGAAAAAACGAAGTGGCCCTAGTTATACTCCAAATGATTTAGAAAAAGCTGTGAATGCTGTTAAAAGCGGAAGTCTTACATATAATCAAGCTTTTGAAGAATTTAATGTTCCTAAGGCAGTAGTTTTTAACCGTATAAAAGGAAGAAAAACTCCAATGTCATGTACAAAAGCTGGTCGGTCTCGTGTTTTCTCTGATGAGATAGAATTAGTACTTGAAAAATGTTTAATAGCTAGATCAAAAATGGGTTATCCATGCGATAAAAATGAATTTAAAGAATTAGTTGGACATTTTATTAAGCAAAGTAATTTTATCACACCATTTAAAAATGGTATTCCTGGAGATGACTGGTATTACGGATTTATGAAAAGGCATCCTAAATTATCATTTAAAAAACCTGAACAACTACAAAAAGTAAGAAAAGATGCTAGAAAGCCAGAAGTAGTATACGATTTTTATGAAAAACTGATGGATGTTGTTGTGGCAAATAATATGCAGAATCGCCCAGAGTTCTTTTTTAATGCAGATGAGAGTGGGTTCCACACAGACCCTTCAAAACTAAAAGCAATTGGTGAAAAAGGACAACCTCTTAATCGTATAGTTGGAGGTTCAGGTAGAGAATCAATTTCTGTATTAGCATGTGTATCAGCTGATGGTAAATATTTAYCACCATTAATAGTTTTCAAAGGATGTGCCGTTCAAGCTCGATGGACCTCACCTAAAGCCTATCCAGGTATATTATTTATTAACAGATGTTACCTATACATTATTTTTCCAATTTACATATTTTTTTTTATTTGTTTCAGGAACATTTTATGCTGTTAGTAAGAACGGTTGGATGGAAGAGTCTGTATTTTTTAACTGGTTTAGTAAGTGTTTTGTTCATCATGTACAACAACTTCGTCAATATAATAACAATGAAAGCCAAACTGCTCTCCTTTTATTTGATGGGCATTGTTCACACATAAGTATTAGGATATTGAAATCTGCTATTGACAATAACATAGTGTTGGTAAAATTTCCTAGTCATCTAACAGATAAAATTCAACCACTTGACAAGTGTGTTTTTGGTCCGTTAAAATTTGCATGGGATAAAAAACTTATTCAATTTGGTAAACAAATGGTAGGTAAAGGAGTTGGAAGATTGACAAAAGGCAAATTTTCAGAGCTATTGGGTAGTGTGTGGTTGGAGTCAATGAAATCTGTAAACATTATATCAGGTTTTAAAAATACAGGTACATTTCCAGTTGACTCGGCTATGTTTCCAGAAGATTTGTTTGATCCAATTGACCTCAAAGAGTACAAAAATAAAAAATACCAAGAACAGTTGCAGACAATTGAAATACTTAAGGAATTTAACCAACCTACTACTTCTATTGAATTAACTGAGCCTACCAATATTATTCCTGAAATCAGTTTTAACTCTGAATCTTTCACAAGCTTAACAGAAAATAATTGTTTACCTTTTAATGAAATTAATTCTGAATTTCTTGATTATCCAATCTACATAGAACAACATGATTTATCTACATATTGTAATAGTAAGAATACAAGTGATTTAGCTTCAACCTCTATAGAACATAATAATTTATCTACAAGTTATAATAMAATTGATAATTTAGGAACAACAGCTCTATCTGATATAACGCCAGTTGATATCATTGGGATTTTTTCAAATCAATTAATAAATTTAAAATCTCAAAATATAACACCTGTTGTTCCCAAACAACAAATACCTCGTTTAAAAACTGCTATGTATGGTGAAGTTTTAACT